AGATGTTTTAAAAAAAAAATAGACAAAAAAAAATTTTTTTTTTAAATATTTTATTTCATTTAATTTGATTGGTTGACCTGAATTTTATCAGATCAGGTCATAAGCTTGACCTGACCTAATGTTGACCTGAAAATTTGTCTACCCAACCTGGATTTTTCAGATCAGGTCGGGTCAGATCACAGGTTTACCTGACCTGATTCGGAGCTCTAATCATATGCAAAGAGTACTGCTGTCTTATCATTATTAAATATTGGTCTAATTACACCCAAATTAATAGATATATCAATAATGAGTCCAACATGTACCTTAATTTGAATTATTTCTTCAGGCAAAAGACTTTGTGTCCTCACTAAAATTTTATTTAGTTCAAATACATCTTCACAAACAACAACTGCAAAATCCTTGTGAACCTCAAAACCTTGCTGTTCAAATTCAATTATGAAAAAAAGGGAAGTGCTATTGCCTTGAGTTCAATATCACAGCAGTAAAATCAGATCTTAATAAACCTTTCTTAACATTTTCAGAAAAAAGGTGATTAAGTTTCCAGGTTGGTTCAAATCGAATTTGATTCAAAACAAATGAATCTGATAAAAATTTTGACCACATTTGAATCTTTACATGAGTTTCTGATAGGTGGCTACCAAGTCCTCGATATTAAACTGAGTTATAAAGGAGTACTAACATGATTGCTGATAGTGCAGTATGAGTATCTATGGTATAAAAGTAATCATTATGATTTTATTTTAAGCCAAACTATTCTAACCACCCCTTCATTTGGATTTGATACCAAGTAGCCACCATTTCAATTTTTTTATTTTTAAGCAATGCATCTAAAATATTATTAGCTTGTAGATCAGGATATTCTTCAAGTACTACTTTGAGATTATGAAAGTGGAGAGCAGGTCTCAGAATAGTTGGTGGAGTTGCAGGTATCTCAAAAAGCTTGCTATTTATAACAGACCACTTTAAAAGTATAGAAAGGTGTCTATCCAACTGAGAAATCTCATCAACATGATTTTCTTGCATTTCTTCAATACTTTGACAGTACTTGAGTAATATAGGAAATTCACCAATATTGACATACAATTTCTTCACTGTCATCATCCAGTTTTGTTTTTCTAAGATTTACTTGTACTTTCTATTAATTTGAAAGAAATGTTAGCAAAAAAATGCTAAGTCAGGACTTTCCCTAACTGCACACTATAGAAGCTTTATATTCTAGTGCTCTTCTTCTCCTATACATGCAGCACAGAGGCATAGCAGCAACTCAACTACTACATATATATGCATATTGTGAAAACTCTATGTCCTATTACTCTTTTTCCCTTGTACATGCAGCATAGAGGTGTAGCACACATAGAAGAAGTTAAAATGCAAAGTACTGACCTTTAGAGTCCTGAGGAGACTAGCAATTTTCTTTCCTTGTTTTGTATTAGGTTCAAATTCTCCTTCTAATATTTCGAGTTCCTTTGATAAAGCAGAAGTGTGAATCATGCAAACTTGAATGGTGAACTTTTTCTTTAAAAAACTCATCCCAATTAGTGAGAGTTTCCCAAGTATTATATGGGCGATTCCAATAATCTGAGGAATAAAAACTGTATAAAAAACATGCTGCATCTTTGAATACAATAAAAAGATTGAATAAAATAAAATTTTACCAGGATATTTTAAAACAGAGGTATTAGAATATTCCATTATATATATTAAAGTAGAGATTGTTTATTTCACAACACGTATATATAATAATTACCACATTATAACAATACTAGTCACAGGACATTGCAGATCAAGTATCATTCAATATAAACATTACACAAATAAAATTATTATCGTCTATTTCAAAAAAAATTCTTTGTTTTTCATATAGCAAGCAGTTTTCAACCATAATAAAAATTTTATAGTCAGACTAGAACTTTCTAACAATAGTTAAAAGAAAAGGTTAGCTTAAATATTGGTTATTCTACGCTAAATCAAAAGCGTTTTTTTTCTTCACACTTATTTTAAAGATTTTCTTCTAACTAGTATGCAGACTAAAACAAATTCAGCAGCAACAATTGTGCCAAAGTTTTCCTACAAAGTCACTTATATCTACTCGAAAGGTTATGTTAGAAAAATTATAACTTTAATTATAAGAGACTGATTTATAATTATTTATAGATTATTAATTTATTATAATATTAATTGATGAAATGAAACTATCATAGCAACACTATAATAAAAATGCTTAAAAGTTAAGTAGCCTATTACTAGCTTGTATATAAAAAACAAATCTTGGTTTTTACAAGTATAATCTGTGCTTATTATTAATATTATTTATTAATATATTGTTACGCGATCATTTAGATTTTATATACATCAGAATTAATGAGAGTGAATAGAATAAACAAGCCTTGGTTTTTACAAGTATAATATTATTAAATATGTAAATAAAAGTCCTTCTAAATCGTTATACTTGATGAATGTTTTATTAATTATTCATAGTTATATAGCAGTTGATTAAAGTACTAAAAGCAAGATCTATGAAGCTTCTAAAGTGATATATTACGTATATATATATGTATGTATGTATGTATAATTAAAACCGTTAATGATCATTAATGAAACTTTAATCAAAAATCAACAAATCTTTCTTTAAATTAACTGACATTTTGTTAATAGCCATCCTTGAAAAAAGTCCATTATACGAATTCATTTTTGTTTAAAATATTAAATAATATTACCAAGTTAATAAATTTGCTTGATACAACTTTTTAATTCATCCAGTGATATATATTATTATGTAAATTTAGGTAAAATAAAAAATAATTAATACTTTTCTATAAACAATTTCTTTAAAGCTTGGAAATTAGAACTTACTATTGTATTAATTATTATTATGTAAAAAAAATTAAGTCAAAAGATTGAATTATGCATATTCAAATTTCTTTATATTATAGAACTTATAGAGCTGGTGGACCAACTTTACATTAAGATTTTCTTTGAGTCTTATTTGTTTACCCTGGTAAAAAATATGTCAAAATAAAGGGTTTTTCATATATTTGTTATTTTTTATGATTCAAGCAACAATTTGATTAAATCAGGCAAGTTTGCGTATATCAGAACGATTTTTTTCTTTGATTTACATATAAAATTCTGTATTGATCAAAATTTTTTATTAGTGAGTGATACTTGACCTCCTGTAGATTTACAATGTCCTGCGACTGTTAGTGTTTTGATAGTCTAAAGTCAATCATATTTATACACTTCAAATTTTCTTTATTTTTAATAATTAATGAAGATATCAATATAGGAAAATTGAAATTTGCATACATAATTTACATACAAACACTAATTTTAAAATAAAAAACCTGTTTTACTGTTTTAGTATAACTAACACAAAACAATTTATTTATTTGTTTGTCAATTTTAGTCTGATCAATAAATCTTGAATTATTATTATTATTGTTGTTGTTGTTGTTGTTATTGTTGTTGTTTGTAAATCAAGTAGTAATTTCAATGATTTTTTGATGTTTTAAAAATATCAATAATTCTCTACAAATAAAATGATCATTATTTATTTGTTTATCTGTTTCAGTTAGCATCTTGAATAATAGATGACCATTTTTGTAATATCTTATTAAACCTTTCAACAATGCCTATACTTTCTTTAGAATTAGCTATTCGAATATTAACACTATATTTATTCATTAATCTAATAACATCACCCCAAAATTCAACACCTCCATCCACCATAAGATATTTTTTAGGCCAAGTAAGCAAACATTTTTGAGAGTTAAAAAGTTTCTCAAAGCCTATAGCAACACTAGTAGAATCACGTTTAGTTAAAGAATAGGTCCATTTTATACAAGTAACAATATTTACACAATTAAGTACAAATTTATAAATTTTATTTCCAATTTGATCATAAGACACTGTTATTCACTGTCAAAGCACTGTTATTCACTGATGAGACACTGTTATTCACTATCAGAGCACTGTTATTGCAATTATTTTTTGCCTTCATATGCTGAATTAGCCGGCATGGATATTAAAACTCCTTTTCACAATACTGACATGTACGGTCAGCTAGTTTTTTTTATGGGTTCTGATTCCTTCTTTTCTACAGTAAAGATATTACGCTAGGATTTGTGAACTGATAGAAGAATAGTAATAGTCTTTCCATTACATATGACTTTAAATTCCCCTTTCATTAAAGGTTTCCATCCAGCTCGATATTGCCATTGAGTATCAAGAATTACTAAAGATTTAGCATTTTCATTTTGATCCTTTTCTGCAGATACAACAGAAAATTCATCTATGATAAAGGTTGTATTTTCTCCAGAACCAATTGTTATGGGAACATTATCCATAGTGCCGATGGATATGGATTGACTTGCAACCCCATTAAGCCTATGAATTTTTTTCCTATTAATTTTAATACCTAAAAGCTCTTCGACAAGTTC